TCAAAAAAAAAAAAAAAAAATCAACAAAATTTCCTACAACAATAAGAAGTTGGAATTTTTTTGTTGAAATCATCAAATTCCAATTCGAATCTAAGTAAAACTTGATTCCACGAAATGAATAATAATATTGAAAATATGTAATTTGTGTTGGAACATTTTATCATTCGATTTTCCATTAGAATATGATATTTTTTTGGTAGTCATGAGAACTGAACATACCAAGGAAAAATTAAATAAATCACCTCTCTCTTTTCCTAGTAACTTTACTGAGTAATAGTATGTGAACTATAATATGGTTAGTTATATGTTATCTTACCCCATAGTAATTTACTTTGCCCACCACCTTTATCATATGCAGGTAGTTCCTGGGGAAGAGAAAGAAGATGACACCCTGAGCAAGAGAAGAGAATATTTGCTGGAAAAAGCTACAAGAGAGGTGAGGAGTAATCGAGGAACTATCGATAAATTGAAACTTATCGACACAATCCAACGACTCGGAATCGGATACTATTTAGAGGATGATATAGTTACATCACTACAAGATGAGTACTCATTCTCCTCCAATAGTGTTCTTAATAACAATTCCGCGAATGACGACCTCTTCACAACGGCCCTACGCTTCCGATTACTTCGCCAAAACGGACTTCGGGCTAATGCGGGTACTAAAGATACCGTTATTACTAATTTCACGAAAAAAATGTTGTCGATATAATATTCATGTGCGTTTGAGTTTACACAACAATGCAATCGAACATGTACAATGATGTCGCTCGAAAACAGAAATTTTGGGTTCCGTTTCATTTTCTTTCCTCAATTTACGACTCTTTATCATATGACCTCGACATAAAATCTTTGCATTTGATTTGTTGTTGTCTTGATTAGATGTGTTCTCCAAGTTCATGGACACCAAAAGTGGGAAATTCAAGGAATGTTTGGCAGAGGACACAAAGGGGCTATTAAGCTTGTATGAAGCATCACATTTGGGAGCTAAAGGAGAAAAAATACTCGAAGAAGCCAAGGAATTTAGCAAAACTCACCTCCAAGACAAGAATATTGAAATCGATACAAACGAAGCCTTGGAACTCCCGAGGCACCTTCGGATGGAACGTTTAGAAGCAAGACGGTACATTCAACGATATGCCAAACAACAATCTCACGATCCGGCACTTCTCGAGCTAGCGATATTGGACTATAACCGTGTCCAAGCTCAACATCAATCGGAACTCTCTGAAATTACAAGGTGAATTCACTACTATACATATTTACGTGTATTAAGTTTCATTCCATATAATTCGAGAAATCATCGATTTAAAACAAGATGTGTGTTATTATATTCGAGATGATCTATGACAGGGCTAAGTGTAATCCTCTGCTCCATGATTTTGTATAACAAGAATTAAATGAATATGTAATGTGATTATAGAATTCGATGTTTCAAGTGAAGGTGGTGGAAGCAGCTTGGCCTAGTCGAGAAACTGAGCTTTGCACGAGATAGGCCGTTAGAGTGCTTCTTGTGGAGTGTGGGCCTCCTTCCGGAGCCCAAATACTCTGTGTGCCGAATCGAACTAGCCAAGACCATCGCCATTCTCTTGGTCATTGACGATATTTTTGACACGTATGGAAAAATGGATGAACTCGTTCTCTTCACACACGCAATTCGAAGGTGGACGATTTTTATTTTTTATTTTATCCTTTTCGATTATCATTTTCTGTTTCGAATTAAGTTGAAATCTGATTTTTAACTGGTGTACAGATGGGATCTCGATGCCATCGACATATTGCCGGAGTACATGAAAATATGCTACATGGCACTTCACAACACCACCAATGAAATATGCTACAAAGTGCTCAAGCAAAATGGATGGAGTGTCCTTCCATACCTCAAATCATCGGTAAAGAAAAATGAAACTTAAAAGTTAGGATTCACTGCTATGTTTATGATGACAAATTTATCGTAGTTCTTACAACAGTAATGTAGCAACATACAAATATATATATATGTTGTAACACGATCCGAGTACATTTGTTGTTTTGCAGTGGATAGATATGATTGAAGGTTTTATGGTGGAGGCAGAGTGGTTTAATGGTGGGAGCACGCCGAATTTGGAGGAGTACATAGAGAATGGAGTTTCGACTGCGGGTGCATATATGGCTCTTGTGCACCTCTTCTTTCTAATAGGTGAAGGTGTGACAGAACAAAATGCACGACTCGTGAAAAAGCCCTACCCTAAGCTTTTCTCAGCTGCCGGTCGAATTCTTCGCCTTTGGGACGATCTTGGAACCGCCAAGGTGCGTGCATGTCTTTCATAATCTTCATTTTATTATTTCACGACCGGGAAATAAAAAAAGTTTATACCCGATTTGGATGAACGATTTATGTTGTAATGAGAAGATTTGGAGAAACAACTTTTTAACTTATGCAAGAGATAGACTTAATATCCCTATATGACTATTAATAGTTCAAGAAAATTGCAGCTCTGGTACAGTCCTTAAAAAACCAGCTAACCAATATTGCTAAACGAGCTAAACTTACGAGAAGTATACTAATTAGTAGACCAATTGCTAACCGTCACTATGTACACGGGGATTGCAGGAGGAGCAAGAACGAGGCGACCTTGCATCGAGCATAAATCTACTCGTTCGAGAGAAAAACTTGGCAACGGAAGATGAGGGGAGGAAGCTAATATTGGAAGAGATTGAGAGTTTATGGAAAGATCTAAATGGAGAGCTCATCTCAAAGAATGGGATGCCATTGGCCATCATAAAAGTCGCACTTAACATGGCGCGAGCTTCCCAAGTTGTGTACAAGCACGAAGAGGACTCGTACTTTTCGAGTGTCGACAATTATGTAGAGGACCTCTTTTTCACTCCCCTCCTTATAGTTTAAACCTCTCATCTCCATAATCTCCTCTTATAATCAAGTATTCCATGTTCACACAATAATCTTGTTTTCAATAAATCAAATGATATGATGATGACCATAAGTTATTAGGAGAAGAAAAAACAATGTATTCTCCGTGTACATATACATTAAATGTACATTTCGAATATTATAAGCATAAGAATAAATGGCTTGATCAAAAGTGTTGCATTAATTATTAGTTTTACTCATAGTTTTTAAACCCAACCCCGTAATCGACCCGGGCAGGTCTCGAGTCACCGGTTCAATCGTCGGGTCACCGAGTCAATTGCTGAACCGGATAATTTATTTTAAAATTTTTAAAATTATATATAGAGTATTTTTATCATATAAATATACATAAAAGTAACAAAATTAAATGCTTTGTGTATAAAACTAGTATCTGTCCCGTGCGATGCACGAGACAGAAATATTAAATGAGTTATTTTCACAGCTTTTTCCATTTAAGTCTAAAAAGTAATAGTGTTATTATCTATTTTCTACCAGTTTTAATCAACGTTTAAGTCTAACAAACAATAGGGTTATAAGTTTTTTTCCACATCTTTTAACCAATTTTGTTCTTTTAGCCAGAACATTAAATATTAGCATGTTATGGCTAACTTGTAAAATAATTAATATATTATCTAACTAAAACATTTATACTAATAAAAAATTAATTTTCGCATATAAATTTATCCCTTGCTATAAGAGAAAGTAATAGTTTTACTTATTCTTGTTCACCATATAATATTTAATTATAATTTTATTATATAATAAAAAGAAATCTATGAAAATTATTAAGCCGCCTTCTGACAATATTTATTGAACTATGTGTTCGTGTCTCATAAGTCACAAACATAATGAATAACATTACAAATTATTCATTCAATCTTTTATTCATTGCAAATATATTAAAATAGATTATATAACGGCCATTAAATACCACTTTCAATATATTTATAAATAAAAAGTACATAAAATTTCTGGTGTGTTTAAATTTAAATAATTTTTTTATGGGCTCAATTTTAAATCATCCAGACATTTGGTCAAACGCATAGTGTGTTCAAATTTAAATCATTGTCATTTTGTTCGGTTGAAATTTAAATCATATATAAATATACAATTTTTTAGCAAATAATATGTGCTTTATAAAAATAATAATAATAATTTCACAAGATTTTAAATATAAAATCTGATTTTTAATCACAATAGAAAAATTATGATAAGTTGTATACCATATAAGCATATATACATAGTTTTATTTGAAAAGAACAACAAAAAAAGAACAAAAAAAATTAAAAAATATATATGGACCGGGTCAATCGGGTTGACCCGGCCAGGTCAATGCACTGGGTCGGCCGGGTCAAGGCCGGTTGGCCGAGTTTTGACCGGGTCCTTTGTTGCCCGGTCCAAATAGCCCACCAGGACCAGTTCCGACTCTGGGTCTTGTGTCGACCCGTCGGGCCTGTCCGGGTCAAAAAACTATGGTTTTACTTTTTAATTATGCTTTCAATAGCATGGGAAATTATAGATTGGAGGGAAATTTGAATAATCCTAGTTAGCATGCTAGTTTTACTTGGCAAGTCAAAAGTGTCCTATGATGATTAATATAAGAAATGGAGTACAAGAATTTGGAGGAGGAATTTATGTGGACCATAGTATATATATATATAATATGTGAAGCCTATCTTGACATTTTGTGTTTGTTTTTTTATTTCACATATTTGCTGTCATTCCACATAAAGACACACATGCCTTAGCTGTACTTTTGGATTTTTCATGCTTTAAAAACTTTTGCTTTCATGTTCACTCCCACGTTCTGATGACAAATTACACTAAGACACCATCAATGGTGTAAGTCTTATGTAATCCAAACATATGACTCAACTCAGGTTGCACCCTGGGTCATCTGTTTCGAGTTGACTCGACCGATCCGGGAAAGGCAGATCTTAAACGATGGGTTAAATCTTAGTTAAATAATAAAAAAGCTCGAACTTATCTGATATGATATATGACTCCTACAATTTCATACATTGATACAACTCCCAATCAAACAAAGCATATCAAAAAAAGCTCAAAAAGAGATTTCATTGCTATTCCTCTTTTTAATAGTTTCTTCTCTCTACCTATACACTAGTGACAAATAGCATTAAGACAACAACAAGACACTAAGATCTCTCCAATAATGCTCTCAATTGTTGATGCAAAAGTACATCCTCATCATGTTACTTTCATACTTTGTATGAGTCATTGATGATCCATGTTGGTTGAGTATCTACACTCAATAATGGCACTCACTCTCTTGGACCTTAGCCTAGCAAGAGCAAGCAAAAATCCAACCAAATAAAGTTGTTGTACAAAGCAACCTTACAATAGTATATGTACTTTTGAGCTTCTTGATTCTTTCTACCCAAAACAACCTTATTTTCACTACTTGATCTTGATCTCCACATGAATTTCTCCAAGCATTGTACAAAAGAGAAAACCACGATCGAGTTCACTCGCGACAAACTAACTCCGATCGACACATAATTCACGAGAAAATAAAAGAAAAAAAAAACGTAAAGAATCGAATTGAATCGTAATATCAAAGACAAACGATGCTAAGCACAAAAAGATTTCTTTTAGGGAACAAACTCGTTCTCGAGCACCGGTCTCGTCCGAGTCTCCGTGGCCACGGGCGCCTTCGTGGGTCCCACCATCGCCATGGGCAGCGGCACCCCCGACTCCGACGCCTCCTCCATTCGCCGAATCTTCGTCCGGCGCCGGCACTTTCCCACATAACCGAGCAACAAACCCAAAGCCACCATCAACAATGCACCTCCAACCACAGAGCCAACAATTATCCACATTCTCCTCCTATTATCCTCTCCGCCCTCCGCCCCTCCACCACCACCACCGCTGCCGCCTCCGCCTCCTGCGGCAGGGGCGGCCGCCGGAGCAGGTCCGGGAGCAAGCGCCGAATGCGCCACGACCGAGAAATGTCCCTGACTCGTCGCCAAGCAAGTGCTGTTCGCAAGACGATCGAAAACAACCGCGCCATCCGAACCAAAACACACACACATAGGCATTTGGTTGTTCGGGCCGGGCCCAATGCCCTGGAACCGGATCGAGATCGGATCCCCCCAGACCCGAATGTCCAGCTCCGTCGGATCCACAGCAGACAAATTGGCGGCGTCGTAAGCTAGAAGCCCCAAAACCGGTGCCAGAAAGGTGTACCCAGGCAAAGGGTAGTACAAGGAGGACCAATTGCCCAGGTTGTGGTACACCAATACAAGCCTCTCCACGTACGGCCGCTCGACGACGCCGGCCGGGATTTCAAACTCCCTGAAGCCGGAAAACCCTTTCCGGCGGAGGCTGCCGCTCCTCAGCCGCAGGGCTGCTACACTAACCCCGGTGAGATTTGCCGGCACGGTGCCGTTGTAGACAATGCCGGTCCTCGGCCGGACAAAAGCCCTAAAGGCATAGTCTTGGAGGAGGGAATCGAGTTCCCTCGCCGGAAACTGCCTGCCGCCGGGCTGCCGCTGCCCAATCGCCACTTGAAAGCAGAGAATCACGCCGAGATACGCAAGGAGCATTTGGGAAAAACAACAGCCCACAAATTTATTTTTATTTTTTTTCTCAAATAGACCAAGAAAACAACAAGATTTCCCCAGTGCCCATGAGGCTTAAACAGCTAAAACTCCTCCATTTCTGCAAAATCTATCCAAAAACATGCAAGAATCCAACAAAAAAGGGATCTTTCGAATCTGGGGTTTTCCTTTTTCGCTTCTTTTTTTCCCTTTTTTTCCGGTGAGAAACACAAAAAGGGTTGAAAAAAAATCCAATTTTTGTTCTTTTTGGTTCTTCCCCTTTCAAGATGTGTGTAGTGTGTACTGTAGCTGTAAGGCAAAGCAAAAGAAGAACAACCGGAGAAAAGGTAAAATAAATGGGGAGCAACTAACCGCACAGCTGTGGCTCGCGACAGAGCAGATTCCCACCGATGATGTCTTTACTGCTCAAAAGGGTCAGCCAATGGAGAGGCGACACGACAGCTGGAGATTAGACCCATAAATGAAGAGAGGAAAATGGAGGACCACGGGTGGTGGCAGGGGAGAGTGAGTAGGCTAAGGCTGGATAGACTGTAGAGCAGCACATTTATGAGGAAAATTTGTTAAGTAATTGCAATCTGTAGACTGGAGAGTTTCGAAAGTAAAAGTTGAATTGTTTGGTTTGGGTGGTTTTGGGTTATGACCTATACGATAATCTAATGGTTATAAATCCCGATAGAATGATTCCGTAACGGGACTGTAGCATTTCTCCTTTATTTATTTATTTATGGTCCATGAGTTAGCTATTATTGCCATGTGTAGATTTGACATTTAGAATACTTTTGAAAAAAATTAAATTATTTTAATGAATAAATTAAATGCAAGAATGAAAAACATTGGTTTTCACATTATAAATGGATATAAGATGAAATGTAAAGTGATAAATTAGGTGTGATATAAAGATAATGAAAGTATTGAATGTGGATTATTAGTGAGTCTTATTGAAAATGTGTATTAATGATTATATATGCTTTTCATTATCCAAATAAGATTGGATGGGAAAATGGGAGTAAAAGAGAACACAATGTCTGCAATATTTTTTTATGAGCATTTTTAATCACATGCCACAACTTAACTATTGGTGATTCTTTATAATTTTTTTTTTCAATAGATAATTATATTAAAAGTTAAAAACTCGAAACGAGACTGAAGTGTCAACTAATACCACTAGAAACAATATAAAAATTGGATCCATCCCCTTGAGCTTACACAGGTGCCCAAGGGGGTACAAACAAACATTAGAAAAGAGACTAAAGCACACTACCGTCTAACAACACTTACACTACTACCTCTCAAACAACAACTCATAGATGGTCTATAAAGAAGAACTTGACCTCAGCCAAGAATACTAGTCGAGAAACTCCACAGTATAAATCGGCTATGGCTAGCCAGATCTAAATCCCTCGACCCTAATTAAGCATTCAGTGCAAACAAACCACCTTCACACAGCACCCAACGGCTACAAACCACTAGTCGCCCGCCCCAAACACAAGGAAAATCGATCACAACCCAGCCAGGAGGTTTGCCCCTAAGACATAAAGCGCGAAGAGGGGGGAGGGGGACGAGGATGTCGCCTCGACATCGCACACGGCAGTCGAAATCTGACATCCACCCGCTTCTAAAACCGCATCAGAGGTCGACCCGCCTGATGCCGGCCATGGCACGTGAAGGACGAACAGGAGGAGGGGATGCGTTTGTCAGTCATCCGAAAGGAGGAGGGAGTTTAGGCGTCGAGGAGACAAATTATCAAATCTAATTTTTTACTGTAAATGAACTTTTTTTCGTCTCATAGAGAGCAACAACATGAAATATGTATTGCTTAGTAGAACTACAAAGTCAAATCACCCATTTGGATTTCAGGCTCCTAATGAGTTAGATTTTTTTTTTTCTTTAAACTCGATATATACCAAACACCATCTAAACTCCAATAGTTTCATGGCGATTCTTTAATCGGATTGAATCTATAATGATGATTATCCTATTGACATTATCACGTGTATGGACTAATTCATTGATCTCTTAAAAATTTAAAAAACCATGTTTTGTGAAGACATATGATATGTTCATTTTGAATCCCATATACATGTCTCAATTAAATAATGAAAGTTGACCAATAGTGAATAATCTGAACTTTTAATTCCACCCAGCAACATATTATGCATCTTAAGAAGATCTGAGTTTGTTCTTCAACTTTAGCACCCCTCTATTCATTAACTAAAAAAAATGAAATTCAAAAGAGTGAAATAAGAACTTTATTACAACAAAGAATTAAAAAGACCAAGTCACTGATAACTGCACAAGTTTAGGTGACCTCCACTGATAACTATCCTTCTGATTCAGTTAAATGACAAGGGAAAAGTAAAAGAGTGTAATGTTCTGAACAATATATACTCATGCAACCGAGTCGACGGCTGCATCAAGAGCATCAACAGTTGAATTCTGCTGTGACCAAAGCTGAGAATATCTGCCCATCTTCGACAACAGAACATCATGTGGGCCCTGTTCCACCACTCGCCCATTCTCCAAAACTACGATCTGCCATTAACAACATAATAAGGCAAAATGAAAAGTGCTAAAGAGCTAGAAACAGCGTATCTCTCGTCCCAAGGACCATAACAAAGAACAAATTTGCAACAGTCGAGAGCAGAATGAAGTTGTATGTTATAGTAGATTGCCCCATTAGTAGGCCACTGGAAATGTGTTGGTCTCGTGTTTAACACTGTGTAAACACATAGCTTAACCATATGATAACATACTCTCATACTTCAAATATATTGATTGGAAATATATCAAAGATTGGTCAGAAAGGGTGGAGATACTTTTCTCATGAAAACTCAAATAAAAATTATGGTATACTAAATGATATACATACATAAATACCCACACATATTCGATAATGCAGAATACATACCTCATCACACTGCATGGCTGTTGTGAGCCGGTGGGCAATAAATATTGCAGTTCGATTATTCGCCAGCGATTTCAGAGCATTTAATATCTCTGCCTCCGTTGTGCTATCAAGCGCACTTGTAGCTTCATCACAGAACCTAAGGTTTCAAAAAATAAAAAATCAATAAATGCTAGTAGTGCTGGTCCTGAGCCTCTACCGAATTAGGTTCACGTGAAAAGACAAAAAGTCGGATTGAAAAATATATTTCCATCCAACAATTAGAATCTTATGGGTTTGCTTGTAAGTTCCAAGCTGCTATAGCTTGTTTAAGTTGATAAAAACAGATAATAAGTGAATCCAGATGAACAAAAGCATCATAAAACAAAAAGAAGTATTGATGGGGGACTTTTAGTCCACCTATCTTTTAGATTCCATTACGACGTGTAACACAAATGCTTGGAAATGTTGGTGACAGCAGCAAGTGCTCGCATAAATAAAAGCAAAGCATGAATGTTATCATGTGAGAAGTGACACTGGAAAGCTACATACTTCTCAGTCACTATAATAAGCAGTTAATATCTACACTCTCCTGAAATAGTGGGGCCAATCAAGGAAAAGCATGGATATACCACATATCAAGAAAACCAATCTATTCACCAGGTTGATAAAGACTTAAATGGAACTAAACTAGGGTGTAGAATCAACAGATACTTACAGTATACGAGGTGCTTTCAAGAATGTACGAGCAAGTGCTACTCGTTGCTTTTCACCGCCACTTAACTGCAAAGAAGAGAGAATAATATCCAAGTGGAACTACAGTGAATAATCACACTACAGAACAAGATCAAGAATGGCTCTTGACTAACTAGGATGGTGCAACTATCTGTTTCAAAATCACATTTCTAGAGCTGATCCCAATCCCATACATCTTTAACGAATGAAGATTGATATCTGAAAGTTTTTCAGAAGCCAACAAAAGTGAAAAAACAAATGGAAAAGAAAAGGAAAATGAAGCAGAAGACACTTGCAATTTTCAGGACAGAAATTAAATTTTGTCCCAGTAACACATCGCTCATTTATTTTGCCTGAGGTTATAAGCTCCCAAAAATAGTCTCATAAGATGTTTGACAACTTATGAAATCTGTATAAGGTCCCAAATAATCTATTAGAAGCCTGTAAAAATAACTTAGGAAAAGTTGTGGAACCCCAATTCATTAGAAACTAAGATCTAACTTTACAAACTCTGTTATAATTCAAACATATTAATTACAAAAATGCCATGAATGACATTTTATAAGTTCCCCCATCGTATTTTATCCAAGCAATTAAATATGTTATTTTGAACTAGGATCTCAGATTTTGTAGGATACTAAGATCTTAGGAGATTATAATGTCTTTTAATTAAGTTCACCCCCAACACTTCCATATGGAGAACCTGAAATTCTGCCACCATAAATTATTTTTTGGAAAAGAAAAGGATTCATTTATGAATTTATGATGGAATTTAAAGAGAGAATTCAGGACAAACCTTAAGTCCCCTTTCCCCAACCACAGTCTGATACTTCTCTGGGAAATTCATTATGGTGTCATGAATCGATGCCTGACGAGCAGCACTGTATACCTAATATTATGAACGAAATCAATGGCAATCGTACAAAGTAAATTCAGTTCAGTTAACGACTTAAAATATGACTAGAACCTCTTCTTCTGTAGCTGAAAGACAACCATAGTGAATGTTGTGGAATATAGTATCATTGAACAGCACCTGCCAATAAAAAATAATTTGCCATTCCTCAGAATACTGTAACAAGTGATTAGGTTCTCATGCAGTCAACAAATGGCCACTCGTGAAGCAAATTTATGGGTATTTGTGTTAACTCACAGTATCTTGCGGAACAACGCCAATGGACTGCCTAAGGCTCTCAAGTGTAACTGTCCGAATATCTTGACCATCTATTTTAATCTGTCCAGTATAAAGGTGTCAACAGCATTGACAGATATGACATACAACTTAGTGCAACAAATCAAAGAAAAAAAGCCTGATCGGCAGTTAAGTTTAATGTATCTATTCCGCCCTTTAATCTTCCATTTCTCGTAATGCACCACAAGTTAGCATGCAACAACATAAGCTGTTACAAATGAACAACTCCAACATATGATGGGAGAACATGCTTTGCTCGAGATATAGTCACAGAAAAATGCTGATGCACTCACTAAAAAGAAGCAAAGTAGCTTAATCCAAGAGACAAGGAAGCAAAGATAACCCTGTTATTTGTGTAAAAGAAAGGGTTTCTAGTCTTACATGTCCAGAGTGTGTATCAAAGAATCTGAAAAGCAGTCTTAGAATAGTCGACTTCCCTGCGAACAACAGGAAGGTATGAGCTGAACTAAAACAAAAGGACAGTAAAAAATGACCATCCATGTCAAGCATCCCAAACTAACAGTCAAGCATAGAGGATATAATAAGATAGCTATATCGCTGATGCACAGAACAAGACCTAAGATTGCTATATCGCTGATGCACAGAACAAGACCCGGCTTTCTTTGCAGCTTGCATCAACACAAAACAATATGAAAACCAGTAGTTTCTAGTGCAACAGGGTAGTATACAACCAATAGCAACTCCAATCTCTTTCATGAAAATCCAGGTAAGTTCATCTTGCATCAACAAATATTTAATGCTGTTAACACAACGTTACTTGTCAGATACAGCTGAATGAAGGTTCCACTTTCTTTTCAATCTAAATCATATATAAAATATCATTTTTAATTATCAAGAGTTTAACATAAGTCATGAAAATTTCTTTGAGAAACATGTATATAGCATATGTGCATATGCATTTAGAAACATGTTTAATCAGCTTCAACAGCAGCAGTTAATCAAATAAGAGGCACATGACAGCTCACCGTTTGCATTGTTGAACATAAAAGAAAAATACAACTGTAAGAGAAATATTACCACTTCCACTGGTTCCAACAATAGCCACACTTTTCCCAGCAGGCACAACAAATGATATACCATCAAGAATTTTCCTTTCTGGCAGATAACTGCATAAGCGGAAGAAAGGTTGAGCATCAAGTAGCAAAATCTACGTTTCCAATGAAGCTTATATGATCCCAGATATATTATCCACTTCAATGGTAATAAAACAATAACATAAACCAAGATGAATGCAATAAGAGAGCCGTCACCACAAAACCACAAAATTTCAGTTTCGGCATACAGTTGGACTTCTTATTGTAAATTTTGACGGAAATTCTGTAACAGCTTAAGAGAATCACAACATATGTGCTGTGTAATTCAGGAATCATTTAGTTCTAGGCTGTAGCCGTTCTGATAAATAATTCCTTCATAAATAGGCCTGAACATGACATATTTACAAAAGCTAGCTCAAGGGAAGAGAGTGTCCAACTCATACATTTATAACAAACAACAAACTAGCAATTTGTGGGACAAATCGACTTCTACACAAACCCTAACGCTGAGCAATCATTCAAAATGGACAGGAGTTTAACCCAACATCTATGCATGAGCATGAGCTTCCGTACAACTAATCATAAATTTCTCATCCCTTTCGTTGGACATGTACATTCAGATAAAAGAACAAATTAAAAGGTCCCACAGGTATGGACTATGAAGACTGGCAGGTACCAGAAATATTGCATGTGAATCCAAGTCTAGGCTATAGCTTTTTACTTATGTGACAATTCGCCTCTCCCTTTTCATCCCTCTTCTGACTAGTTTTCTACTTACTCCTCTAATGCAAGAAAAACAAAATGCAGCAAAGCTTTGCTTATTGCATCAGTGCAGTACTTATTTCCCTTAGAACATATGAATAGCTGTAAGGTTATTGCTGATTGCCAATCTTGCTAAGTTTGAAGCATCTATAACATTTTACAGATTACTGGAAAGACCTTTGTGAGCCTAAATTGTACACAAAGTCACCTTCATATGGAAAAGAAATTCTAACCAGAAAAGTTGAGGTGCACCTGAAGTGGACATCCTTGAATTCAACGCTGCCCCCAGTTAATTGCAAGGGTTGGGCATCATCTGCATCCACAATTTCCGATTTTTCCTGGAGATACAGATAACATAATAAAATTATTTTTGTTGCAAAATTATATTACACAGAAAGATAAAGTTCATGTTAATTAAACGTTCTTCAGTCATCACGCAACTATAAATATTTTACACAAACAACCAGATAATGTCCAACATAAACACATTTCCAGGAAACATCTGTGTAATTTTTTATGAAGGGATTCCTTTTACATCATTACTCATGAGCACACGACAATGGTGAAGAACAATAACTACTGAGCCTACCATTTCAACTCTAATTCATTGCGTAAAACTGTAAATTGACATCAGAAATTCATAAAAGGCATTTGGAATTTAATTTATTTGAACACTGGGAGAAAGTGGAAGCAAAGGGAAAGGCCAAAGTCATGACTGAAATGGTTAGTGCATAAAACTAGAAACACTTTTATTAGAACCCTGGTTTCTGGACAATTATATTAAATGCAATAGTATTTACGTATGCCGTCCAAAAAGCTCTTCCTATATGCTTTGTCACTGCAATTTTCTTTTCTCACCGTCTTAAGGTCAATGCCAATGCATTACAGGGCTGAAGAAACTGTTGGAGTAAGAGATACATCATTTCACTCTAATACTTAATTTTATTAAATGACTCTTGCTCAAGCAACAATAGCAAGATCACACAACTCAGCATAAGAAGTGGTCAAGTTTCAACTCCTAGAAAGTTAATGAAATAGCGAGATATAGGGAGAAACAAAAATTTAGAAGAAAAGCCTTGAATTTTTCAGAAAATGGGAAGCAATAATTCTAAAAGATGACTGAATACCTCAAGTAACTGGAACATGGCCTTCATGTCCACCAAACTTTGAACGGTTTCCCTATATACACTTCCAAGGAAGTTGAGTGGAAGAGAGAGTTGAAAGAGTAACCCGTTCACCATGACCTATAGTTTAGTTATAATATTATCAATTACATCAAATATTAACTTATGCCATCTCAACTCAATATATAAAGGGGATGTCATAGGCTGGTGACATTTTTACCAAGTCTCCTACAGTCATATTGCCATTCATAATCCCACTGGAACACCAAACCATAGCAGTTGATAGAGCTGTGCTAAAAATCAAACTCTGGCCAAAGTTTAAAAAGGCAAGACTTCTTTGAGTCTTTAATGCAGCATCTTCATACCCTGTAAGATGTTACCATACATCATACCGTCATTGTTCTTTCAAACATGTCAAGAGTATTTGAGCAACTCAACGGGGTAAAAAATGTATTCCTTCTGTTCCAATTACAAAGATGAAAGCTTCTTGGCAACTGCCATTATTCATTAAGTGGATATCGTCAATCAGAAAATTAATTTGGGAAGCACAAAGTACAGTATTTATATTGACCCAAAACCAAGAAACATTCATAGGCAATAGTCCAAAATGACACACTCCCACCTCCGCTTTGTGAACTGAGTATCCAGCTACCCATTTATTCAACAGGTGCATAATATTTAATATCGTTCTGATTAAACTGTAGAAGGGTAAAGGAAGCAATTAATCAATAAACGAAGAGGTTTAAGGTAGAAATGACTTACTCTCCAGGAACTCATCATATTTATCAGCTTCAAAAGACTCATTGTTGAAATACTTGACAGTCTATATGAAATAGAAAGGAATTAAAAACGGTTGGTTGATAAGTTACCATTATTTTGTTCGAGTTCAGAATAATTCCCCAAGAGAAGTGAACTTACCTCGTAGTTAATTAAAGAATCAATTGCACGTGTATTAGCATCATTATCAGCTTTATTCATCGCCTTCCTAAACTTGGTTCTCCACTACAGCAGATATTCAACAACAAAAATTGTAAATCCTTAACCAACTTCGAGCTAATACGACATATCAAGCATTCAGATTTGAGTTATGCTTCTCCAAGAAGTAATTTGAACCGAAAAGTAAACAAAACACAGAAAAAGACGAAACAGAAGAATGCAGGAAAAAACTAATGCATGCAGATGCTTCTTTCTCCTAGCATGGTTAACTGAAGACACTAAAAATAGGCTGCAGTGAATGCGGTAAAGATTTTTTTTCCTCAAAGAACTGAAGCAAAGAAAAAAATACCTGTGTTGTAGCCAATGTGAAAGCTATATAGGCTGCCATAGACAAGGAAGTAATCCATGCAAATGGAGATCCAAATTTATAAGCGAGAATGCCAGAAACCATTGATATCTGGAAAGTCAGACACTATAATTATTATTTTTTAAAAAAAAATAAATAAATAAATTGTAACTGGGTTTTACACTAGTGATAAAAACCTTACTGATTATATATTGAAGTTAATGAGGAAAATTAATAGCAAATCACAGGGAACTTACCTCTAACAGAGTAGGTACAACATTGAAGACCATCGCCCCTAGAATAAAATTTATAGCACGACTACCACGGTCAATAATCCGATTTAGAGCACCCGTTTCTCGACTAGAGAGAGAGAGAGAGAGAGAGAGAGAGAGAGAGAGAGAGAGAGAGAGAGAGAGAGAGAGTCATCTGCACATTAGTAACCATTGAAAGCATAGCAAACAGGACAACAATTTATAGAAAAATTAATCAACGGATAAATAGAATAAATGTAATTGAAACAACAAATTGAAAAAAAGCACTTCTGAGAACTTTTAGAAACAACTGTAATGCAACTAAATGGCACTGAAATACCAACAAGCAGCATGGAGAATCTCAGGATAAACATATACTAAGAAAGATCACGAATTACCTAAGGTGATACCGTAAGTCGAGCTCATGCAAATGAGAAAACACCTGCAGGAAAATAGTTTCAATGGTGTATGTTAGCCCACAGATATCTCTTCTTTAAATCATCTATTAGAATAATTTGTAATAGCTAAATGACAGACATATTTGCTGGCCAGGCAAAATTCACTGTTTAAAAATGAAATACAATGTTAAAATTAGTTTTAAGCAGTTCGGTCCAATAACATCATTCATGTGTTAATTCGTAAATTAATATGCATGCTTGAGACCTTGCTGAACTGCTTTCTCCGTACATTACACATGAACAACCAAATGTACTAGCTAAAACACAATGATTAAATCACATCAACCATAAGCTAAAGGTATTGACAGACACCCATATGGGTGGTCAAAATTGAAAACATGAAACTTGAAACACAGAAACCCATATTAGTACTATGTAACCAATTAGGCAATTAAAACTTAGTATGAACTTCAGTTTTCATTTTGGTTTAACAAACTCCATGGAGTATAGAGTCAGTGTCATAGACAATTATATATACATGTATATGTGTGTGTATGTGTATATATAGGGGCTGGTTCAAATAAAAACTAGTCGTAGTGTGAGAACCGTGAGAATCGTATTTGATGCTATTTTCAATTATGTATGATACTATTTTTAATATTCCATGGTGCTATAATTTTCACAAATGGTAATATAAACTGTGCTGCTATTTTTAATAAAATACATCATGATTAAAAAATAGCACTAAAACACAATCAATCATAGCACTATGTACAATTAAAAATAGCGGTTCTCACAGTTCTCACGCTAGGACTTAGTTCTCATTTGAACCACATATATATAGCTAAAATTATATCATTTTCAATATTTTTTAAAAAAAACATATAAACACTTATGATTAAAATACTATTACTTCATTTTGTAATATGGCTTCATTTCAGAAAAATAGGATAACTGAATTACAAAACAGAAAACGATAACGATTATGGTGAAGATAACTGTTAGTAACCAGCTCAATGATTAATTTGGTAATGCATTTTGGTCTATCAAACTTTCAGCTCAAATTTGATCATCTATCAAATTAATTTACTCGTAAATGTCATAGCGAGACACTTGGTTTACTCTTCTTTCACTTTATGGTCAACATTCTTATTGGAATATAATACACACACACACACACATACACACACACACACACGCGCGCATATATATATATATATACATATACATTGACGTATAATAAACATATACAGTTTAGAATAGCACAACAATCAATTCGTTTGCAAGCGGATGCGCTCAGTCAAAAGCTTCTACTTCGTGGAAAGCAATTCTTCATGAATATATTATTATTATTTTGGCTATTTTCCAGATGTCGTTTCGAGGTTGCTATGTCAGACTTAGAAAAGCAATCCAAACTCTCCCCAGGCAGAACCCAAAGCAGAAATCAATTGCGGAGCAGCTGACCTGGATCATGCTTGCCATTTGCCAAGACCCAGGTAGACCTTCCCTTGATGTGCATCTAATATAGTCAAGCAGATCATCCTTCTTTTTTTTCAGCATGAGTTTATTTATTTTCGTTTCATGGGGAATTATGGGCCAGCTAACTCCAATTCAAAACATGAATAAGCAGAAGGTAAACCCAACTAGTTCTGCAGAGTTGAGCAAATTTGACCGTAAATTGTGAAAGCTAAATAAACAATGAGGAATTATGCTCGTACAATCCCAACATTGAGCGTTCATTACACACAAAATCTTGTTTCTACCTTCAGAATTTTCCGATGTTCCCCTCCCACTAAAACAATACTATTCTATCTAGAAAACTGATTTGAACTATGGCCATGAGAAAGTGTTTAATAATAATAAAAATAATAATAATAATAATAATAATAATAATAATAATAAAAATAAAAATAATAATAATAATAATAATAATAATGATGTCTGCTATAGTAAAACAAGCAAAACAAAGTATAAGCAGCGTAAGAATTATAAGAAAATAAGCATCATACCTCTCGTGAAACTTGCCGAATCGTTCTCAATGCCACCTTAGAAAATATTGCAGTTCGTAGTTCTACAGCAAAATAATTGTAATTTAATATGGAAAAAATAATTTAAAATAAAAGAGAAAATATGAGAAAATGCATATGTCATTCTACATGCAGTCCATCCACACTAACACACATGAACTGACTTCAATTTCGGCACCTTAGGAGCAATAGTATAGCACTTGACGGCACATTCGAGTAGTTCAAAACAACATACCATTAAATGCGGAAGCCCCAGCTCGCGCTATACCATATCCAATCAGAACAGCAACTGGGGTCGCAAAAATAGCTAGAAAAGTAGAATTAGCAGCTGTAAACTCAGCAAGAGCACCAGGATTGCCGGTGGTTGTTGCTAGCCAGTCAACAGCGAGCTTAAACAAGAATGGCACCTGAACATTCACTACCTGCACAAAACACCAAACAATTGAAAAATAAATTCAGAATCAGAAGATACGATATCTAGATAAGATGCATCCGAGCAAAAAAAGGGTCTCTCACTTTGGCGCCAATCAGAAGGCCCAGAGCAGCAATTACTCGAAGCCGAAACTCAAGATTATCTTTCATCCATAGGTACTTAGCCAGAGTCCCCATGATTTTGGCGTCGGCAACAGGCCCTTGGGGAGACACGGCTTTCTTCGCCAGCTTCGCCGGCTCTTGCTTCGGTGCACCATTTGCATCGGTTGAGAACAGCGCGGGCCCATTTGGCGACGAACCCTGCTTGTCAATAACCAGTCAAAACATCACAAAACCCATCGGCTTCCAGTTGAACAACTGGTATCTTAAAACGTATTCGCACACAGAAACACAACACAAATAAAAAGCTATTGGAATTTAGTGTGCTGACGGGTTTCTGAGGAGGTGTGGACGGAAAATCGGACAGGAAGGCCTTGATCTTGGGCACTGACGACGTCGTTCGGGCTGAGGTCCACAGCCTTTTGCATTGACTTGAGAGACTCGGAGCTCCGGTAAAGACGGAGTGGTGAAGGGGCTGAGGCGCGGCGTGTGGCGCGCGCAGAGCCGCCGGATGTGAAAGAGGATTGGAGCATCGAGAAGAGACGGCGCGATTCGCGACCCTCAAGCACCGGGACGCAATCGTCGCCTGCATGTTTCCCGGCTGTTGGTCTCAGTGCATTTGAAGACGGTCAGGAAGAAGGTCCGATAAGTGGTTGATAAAATGCCTCACATGGATTGGACTCAAAATGAGATTTCTACTCACTCTTATAAGGTGGTTGTTTACGGATTCAACTAGTTTTTATTTGGTTTGTTTTTTATTTATAGTTAATTTTGAAAAAAAAATGTTACATAATTAGTTGTTATTAAATATATTAACTAATATTGAAATAAAATATTTAAAGTTGATTTGATGTAAAGTAAGAGAAAAATAATTAGAAGTGATGATTAGTTGAAATTATATGAGTAAATGAATAGTGAATTAAAGTTGATGTGTAAGAATGATTGGTTGATATGATTAATATTCATTCTCTCCTC